GGATGTCCCTGAAAAAGGTGTCGCTCAGATTGCAGCATATTTTGCTCCAAAACCTGGATGTACTTTTCAGCATTAATGGTGCCTTCACAGATGTGCAAGTTACCCACGCCATGGGTACTAACACACCCTCATACCATCACAGATGCTGGCTTTTGAACTTTGCACCGTTAAAATATAAAAAAGTTTATCAGTTTGAACATTAAATATCTTGTCTTTATGGTGTATTCAATTAAATATGGGCCAAAAAGGATTTGGAAGTCATTGTATTCTGTTTTTATTTATGTTTTACACAATGTCCCAACTTCATTGGAATTGGGGTTTGTAATAATTTGGTGTGAGAGAAGGACAGCACAGGTTTACTGTTAGAAGTTGTGTTGTTTAACATTTGTACCATGCTGTGAGAGAACTTTTCCCGGGCCAGTGAGGGTCCAGTTTTCTCCCATACAGTTCTCTATCTGCTGTCAAAATCATTCAAAGTTTAAACAGTCTATTGCAAAGTATAAGATTTAATGGGGGGAAAAAAAATGAAAAACACCCCAATAGCATCTGTTTCCAGTCCGTGGAGCAGAATGACTACAGAGTTTGAGACTTCCCTTTTTATACCCTCTATAGCTCCTCCTTGCACCGTGGTTTGCTTTCTCTTTCTTTCTCTCTGACCTACTTAGGAATATTCTATTATGTCACTGGTTAACATAGATTTCTAATACAAAAATAATAATTTAAATAACCTCACATGGCAAATGCAAGTCATGCTTACTCCTTCAGGGTCAAGGCTACATTACGATTGACATTACTTAATGAGCAAACAATACCTTTTTGACACAAGTTTCTGATTAATGGTACGCTTCAAACCACCCAGAAATGATAAATATTGCAAAAACATCTTAAGGTCACATGAAGTGACATGTAACACAATCTGTCAAAAAAGATATGTCCAACCCATCAAGAAGTGACAAGCAAACACATTAATCTGTCATAAGATGACAAACAATAATAATTTGTTGGCACTCTGACAAGCAAGTTTCCACAGATGACATATTAAAGGTTACCAGACAGAATAATGTCCTGTGAGCTGTCGGTTGATGGACAAATAAGCAAAATTAATGATTCTCCACATAACATAAAAAAAACTCCCCCTTTACACAATTCCACTACTAAGTACGTCTGCTGTCAAGGCCATGGTCCTTGCTCAGTGTGGGCATCTGTCCAAATAAAAGACTGATAAGTTTCTATTTCTCTCACCTGCTTTAAGGCTACTGGGATCACCTCCTGGTTAACTTTCTCACCTCTGCCTATATCTCACTTATCAGTCTTGTATACATTAAAAGAAAGCAAATAAACGCAACATAAATCACGTACAGCTAATGAGAACAAATAAAGCAAACTAATTTTCAACAATTCATGCACGGTACATGCTGTAATTTCTCTGAACCTTTAGGCGAGCTACTCTGAATTGGGCAGCAAGCTAGTGGTAGCTCACGAGCAATGTGTTGGAGACCCTTGGACTAGACAGGTAACTGGATACATGGTTGAATACCAATATTCAGTGTTCTTCTCTGTTTCCCAGCTAGTGTTTGTCAGCATATGTAAGAACTTCTGGGAGTGTGGCTTAGTAGCCATCGATGACATCACTGTCAGCCTGGGGGACTGTCGAATCACAGCAGGTAAAAGGCTCACAAAGACATACCCTATCAAGTGTAATAAACTTGAGTTATTAGTTATGATTATTGATATACTTCATAATAACATGTTAAGATTGGGGCACCAAGCTTTTTCTCTTATGAACTACATGGTAAACAATCAACTGTTAAGATCACATCTCAGTCTGAAGGAGGGAATCCTTAGACAGGGACATCTTTACCTGTATAAAAGAGGCCATGAAAAACTCAGTTTTATAATCTAATATATTTATGTATATATTTACACAAGGGAAAG